AGTCGTTATCGGTTTTTGTGCGCCTACACATTTTGAGTTGTCAAAGTCTAACGATTAACTGTCGTTGTGTTATGTCCTGTGTTCATTGTACTGTAGTTGAGGCTCACTGCTGTCGCTGTTGAGTGTAGAATTGTTCTCATTCCTCTCTCAAGCTGCCATCAAACACAAGCACACATGCACGTACACTCTTTATTAACAGCGAACGTGGCGGTGGTGTGATAAGAAGATGCCAAGTAATAAACTGTTGTGGTAGGTTGGTTTGGGGTTTGAGCACATGGGGTCACATGGCTAACGGTAGTTTTTTTGAGAGAGCACAATACAAAGAGAATATTTAATTCTCTCATTCATATAGGAGAGAAGAGCATTTGGAAATATTTCGTTTGGAGAGCAGAAAAGCTTTTGCTTGTTACAATAAAAGCTTTCTAATGATAATTAAGACATTACTTTGTTTGTTGAAAATATTTTTAATTTAAAATTCCTGGATAATATTAAAGTTGTGAAGAAAATGAATTTAAGGAAAAGAGTTGAAGGACACCTTGGAATTTCTTAATATCACCGACATGTACAAGATTTAAGAAAATGGTTTAAGAACTACCAAAGCCTTAGTAGTCTTTTTGAAGGAGTGAATACTTCCAGAAAATAATCACAGAAAAATTAAATTTTGGAATATTCTTGAAATGAATCTTAAAATCATACAATAAGAATTATTTTTGTAGGCTTTAAGGGATATTAAACCAGGAGAAAGGGGGAAAAGTCTGATGGGCTCACTCAAGGAAAATGTTGTGTACTTTAAATAAAGATGTCAACTCTGGAAATTAACCGTAAAATATAAAATATAAGTGTCTTTTCAGTGTGATAAATGTGAAATCGAAGAGAAGCTTTACCCATTTATAATCATGTGTAAGCATTTATTGTCGGTGGTAGTTACAGGTTATATAGCGCTCAAAGAGTGGCATAATTCAGAAAATCCGTCTTAGAGATAGTAATTTCTTTGAGATAGTAATTATACCCTCCACCATACTATGGAGGGTATATTAACATTGTCATTCCGTTTGTAACTCCTCGAAATACTCATGTCAGACCCAACAAATGATATACATATATTCTTGATCAGCGTAAAATTCTAAGTCGATTTAGCGATGTCCGTCTGTCTGTCTCTCCGTCTATCTGTCTGTTGTAATCACGCTATATTTTGAATGAATTGAGATAGATGTCTAAAATTTTGCACACATGCTTATTTTTCCAGTAGGCAGGTTAAGTTCCCATGTAGGTCCACGTTTTCATAGAGCCCCTATATAACAGTACCTCCCGATATTCGGTATTTTGATGATTTTAGCGATTTTATTCATCGGAATTGTTTCAAATTTGGTATTTAAAGTTCGAAATGAATACTAAAGCCTAAGACAGAAAATTGTCAGTGCAGGTCCACGCCTTCGTATAGCCCCCATATAACAGTACCTCCCTACATTCGGTATTTTGATTATTTTAGCGACATTATTCACCGGAATTGTTTTAAATTTGGTATTTGAAGTTAGAAATGGGTACTACACCCTGAGGCAGAAAATTGTTTGTGCAGGTCCACGTCTTCGCATTGCCCCCGTATAACGGTACCTCCCAATATTCGGTATTTTGATGATTTTTGCGTCATTATTCACCAGAATTATTTGAAATTACGTATTTAGAGTTCGTAATGGGAACTAAAGTCTGTGAGAGGAAATTGTCCAGGTCTTCATATAGGCCCCATATATCAGTACCTCTCTATATGCCGAATTTTAGTATTTTTTATATTTAGTATTTTTAAAATTTTAACAGAATGCTTTAAAGATTTCATTTTTTGAAAGTTTTCAAATTCGTTTCAAATGGTGGAGGGTATTCAAAGTTCGGCATTGCTTTTTAACTTGTTTTCTTTTAAATTTTCAACATAAAGCCCTTAAATATATCAAATCAGAAAACTTTGTGTAATAATCTCATTTTTATCTATACGGCGGTCGTACAAGTTAAATTTTTAATTGACGGGAATATACATAAAAAAGATATATTTGAACATGTACCATATATTTAGGATTTGGTTGATAAAATTCTGTTAGTAACTTTTATTATGAGATTTTAAATACCTATTAAGTTCAGTATGTTTTTCAAAATACTTCTAAAAATTACACACAATGCTGGAAATCGGTTGAGTTTTGTATTGGATCCGCAATAAAATGTGTTTTTTTGTTTAATTTGAAAAATAATGATTATTCCGCAGAACGATAATGGGTGTGCGTACGCTTAAAGAACGCTAGGAAATATTGCGACTATACTTAAAAAACAAGTAAAAAAGCAGCATAGTTTTTGTACACTCCACCATTCGGAAGGAACTTAAAAATTAAAAAAAAAAAACAGTAAAGAAAGTCCTAAAGTCGAGCGGGCCGACTTTTTGATACCCTACACCACTTTGCTAATTAAGAAGAGCTCCACATAACAATTAAAAGTTTTATGGGAGAATTCAATCATACACACTATGATTACAATTATAATTTAAAATTCAAAGGACTAAATATGCCGAAGCATTTGTATCTTTTAAATTCGGACTTGTATTGCCCATTTGGTGCAAAATTAATATGGAATCAGATAAAGATATATATGGGACCTATATCAAAATCTGAACCAATTTCGATAAAATTTGGCAAAGACATTTCTGAGCTGTATTTGATATATTTCCCTGAATATCGTTGTTACGGAGTGCATATTACGGCTGTGGGTAACAAATACAACAAATTGGATGAACAATAAATATGTGAGCTATAGCAATATCTGAACCGATCTTCACCAAATTTGACATACATGCATAAATCAACTCAGAAAGTGATTCTATGGAGATCCTCAAAAGTAACTATGGGTCTATCTCGCTTCCTTCTCCATGTTACAAACAAATGCACAAAGACATAATACCCTTACCACTATGTGGTGTAGGGTATAAAAAATCCGTCGATAATTACCGCTCAAATGAAAAACTTTATATGGGGGCTATACGAAGACGTGGTGCTGGATAAGTAAACCTGCATAGACAATTTTCCGTCATATGCTGTAGTACCCATTGCGAACTTCAAATGTGAAATTTGACGCAATTCCGGCGAATAATGTCGCGAAAATCTGAAAATACCGAATATCTCGGAGTAGCGTTAAATGGGTGCTATACGAAAACATAGACCTATGTAGACAATTCTCTTCTAGGGGGTAAAGTAATTAGAGTGAACTCTTTGTGTGGGTTTTCAGACTTTCAGAAAAATGTGGTTTAAGTCATCAAAATACCGTATATCGGGGTACCATTTTATGGAGCCTATACGATATCGTGAAGCTATATAGACAATTATCTTTCAGGCGGTAAAGTACTCACAGAGAACTCCTTGTGTGGAACTCCAGACAATGCAACTGGAAAATGTGACTGAAATTATCTAAATACCGAATGTCAGGAAGTACAGTTATATGAGGGTTACCCGATATCGTGCAGCTCTATATGCAATTATCTTTCAGGGGGTAAAGTGCGCACAGAGAACTCCTTGTGTAGAATTTCAGACAATGCAATTGAAAAATGTGACTAAATTTATCAAAATTCCGATTGTCAGGAGGTACAGTTATATGGTGGATATACGTTATGGTGAAACGATATAGCCCATCTTTAATTTGACCTGCCTGCAGACAAAGTACAGATCGGTGTAATTTTAGCTTCCGTCTTAGAATTTCATGCTGATCAAGAATATATATACTTGTTGGGTTGTCTAAAATTATTATTTCGATGAGTAACAATCGGAATGACGAACTTAATACGAACCATGCTATATATGGTGGAGGGTATAAAAAGTAGTTTGTTTACTATTCCTTTAAATGGTTTTTCGAAATGAAAGTTTTGGTTGGTGCCACAATATTTTGTTCGGCGAAATATAGTATGTATTCAATCTCAGATCATAAAATTAATAGATCCGGAAATAGAATACAAAAATAAAAATTTTAAAATACCGATTTTCCCCTATTTCTTAGTAAAACTTCGGAGAGAATTTCTGAACCTTGCTTTCTTCAAATACCAATAAAAAGCATTAAAGAGAAATTCAATACGCTACTCAAAATACGCTACTCAATTTTCCTTTAAATAATCAGTTTAAATCATAAATAATTACCCAAACACTTCCTTGTTAAATGTGTTAGATATTTTTTTAAAGAATTTATGAAATATGTGTTTCTAAGACGTCTACAGCCATGGTATGATGGTATGAGGAGTAAAAGCTTTGACATGACGTCACAAATGCATTAACCTTTTTTATAAGAAACAAAAAAGGAAATCTCCCTTCCCCGGTTTTCAGCCGCAGCATCATCAGCGACAAAAATGTCGTGTTGAAAAAAGCAAACAAACACTATTCATCATCATCCGACTTCATGCTAAGAGAACGTCATTACAAATGCCAATTATCATTAGCTTAGAATCTTACCAAATGATTATTATCATAACCTGTCATAATTATGTTTCAATGACCATTAGAACAATTGTAATAATTAAGTTTTTTGTGAGAATAATTCTCTGAGTCTTCTTTTTTATTCTCCGGATTTTATTTTACTCTCTATCTCCCGATTTACGTTTGTTGCGAACACCCACAATTTGTATGAGTATTGGTTAGTTGGAGAGAGTCAGGATTTTTATTTTGATTTTCTCCTGGAATCTTTGCCGCATGCTACATTTTCTCTGTCTCTCTCTCCCATTCTCTCTATTGCTGTATTTTGTTTTCCCACCGTTTCCGTCCATGATTCCTTTGCATTATCCTTGTTTTTGCCTTTGTCTAACTATCCTTTTAGGCCTGTTATTGTTATTGCTGTTGGTGGTGTTGTTGTTCTTGTTGTTATCAACACCACCAATACCACTGCATGCCACTACTACTGCTGCTGTCAGCCGTTCACACAATGTGTGTTTTTTAGTATTGAACCAACCAACATTTCAATACACGTTGGCGCTATTCAGTTGTGTGGCCGAAGTCGTTGCATTCACACTTGCTTTATCACACATGAACGTTGCGTTCCGTATGAACAACGTTGACGTTTTTGACGAGAAATAATCGCGTCCTCTGTCCTTTTTTAGCGTATGACAAATTGTCGCAAATTTTGTAAAACGAGCGTGAAAATATTTTGTTGTAAAAAAATAATAAACGTGCGTTATTATTCTGCGTAAGTCTGGAGCGTTTTGAAACGCTTCTATGTAAAAGAAAAGAGTTTGAACGGTCGTTCCGTGTCGTTGTATTAAAAGTTTTGTAAAAAAAAATACCAATACTGTCCCATATCTCGTAAACCAATATTAAAACGTGGGAAGAAAAAAATTCAAATTTCTCTAAGAAAAAGTGCTTTAAAAATAGTCCCAGTATAGCCGCCTTAAGAAAAAAAAATAGCTTGCATTATAAAGAAGTATCCTTTTAAAGAAAAGAAAGTCCTTGAATATCCTTTGAAATAAGTAAGGTTTACAAAGTTCATTATTATTTATTATTCAGTGCATTAGTGTTTGTGTATTCTATATATTGAAATATATCTTAGCCTCTCCATGCAGATATTGCTTACACTATTGCGGGTGTATGTGCCAGTGTTTGTGAGTGTGTCTGTGTGTGTGTCAAAAAAATAAAGAATAAAATTTTAATTGAAATTCGTAAAACAGCAACTTCGCAAGTTATTAAACATAAAACAGCTGGTGTTATCCTCAGAATTAATGTCTTCAATGTAAAAGGAACCTACCACACCTACAGCATTCATTACTCTTTGTGCAAAGTTCGTCGTTACTGTTTGCCAAACAAAACAAAAGGTATTTTTAATAAATAAATAAATAAAACAATAGAAGACATGAAAATCTTTAGAAAACTTTTGTTTTGAAATTCTATTAAAATTTCAAATGAATTCTTATGTTCTTGGAAAATAGGTTTATAAATATTCAATAACGAACGGCATTTGTTAAGCTATGTAATGTGTCGCTGTAAATGAAATTCAACTCCTAAAAATATGCAACGTATTTTATGTTTTCATTTGAAAAATCTTATCTAAGGCTATGGATAAACGTGTTCATAGCAAATACTTAGATATTGAATAGGGAAGGTCGTAATAAGCATTAGCTAAACGAACATTTTAAGAATTGTGAAGATGCTTTACAAATTTCAGGAGAGCTTTAAGACATGAATTATTGTTTTAAATGATTTCTCTATTAAATTTACCAATTTTTTTAACACAAAAAAAAAATTGAGGATAGCATAATTTTGAATGAAATTTATTTAGCTTAAAGTGTTGAGAGGCTAAATGCAAAATTGCAATCGTTTGAAAGAAAAATTAAAGCCTGAAGAATTTTTAATTGTGGTATAAAATTATAGAATTGTTTCATACCGTTTCTTAAAATTTAACAATCACAATTATATCAATATTAGAACTACTATTCAGAAAAATTGTGAAAAAATCTCAATAATCTGATGTTTCAATTATGAAAGATTTGTAAATAAAAAATTACCTAAAATTATCCGAAAAGTGAAATTAAAAAAATTATAAACAATAATATGTGAATCTTTTCATATTTTCTTTAAAATAATTATTGCAAGAGTATGTGAGACTCTCGAAAAGAAATATGGACTTTAAACTTGAGAATAAGGCGAAAATAGTCTAACTTTTTTGAAAAAGAGACAAATTTTCAGATTTCAAATAAATTATGTTTTCGTTCCAATGGTGCGTGTGATATTTACCAGGTCAATGTGAACGTATCGAAGAGTTTCGAGAAAATTCGAGGGATGGAAACTATTTTCTAGAAACACCAACATGAAGATGTCTTCAGAAAAAGGACGATGTTATCAAAAGTCTGGCCTAATGCATTTTTTTTTTTTTTTGAAATAACATGAAATCGATTTGTTCAAAGAAACCATTTCATTTGGCCAAATCGAATTCTGTTTTTATACCCTACATCACAAGGTGGTCAGGGTATTATGTCTTTGTGCAATTGTTTGTAGATACCCCCATGGTTCCTTTTGATGCTTTGCATAGAATCACATTCTAAATCGATTCATGCATGTACGTCCGTCCGTCTTTCTGTCTGTCCGTCTGTCCATGTATCTTTGTAAACAAAGTACAGGTCGCATTTATTGCCCGATTCAGATGAAATTTTGCACAAATAATTTGTTTGATCAAAGGACGAACTCTATTGAAATTGGAGATAATCGGTCAAAATTTAGGTGTAGCTCCAATATATATTGTTCATCCGATTTGTTATTTTTGTCCTTCGAAGCCGTAATATGCACTCTGTAACAACAATATTTGGGGAAATATATGAAATATAACTCAGAAATAACCTTGCTAATTTTTTTTGAGATCGGTTAATATTTGGGTATAGCTCCCATATATATTTTCTTAGGATTTGCCTTTTATTGTGTACCAAACGTGTAATATTAGCACAAAGGGAATGGAATTTGGTACTTACGACCAAATTGAGTCTACAAACCAGTATGTCAAATTTGGTAGAACTCGGTTTCAAGTTAATTGTGCACCAAATAGGTAATACAAGCCCGAATTGAAAATGCGCAAATATCTCGACAAATTTAGTAGAAATCGATTCAGAGGAGGATATGCCTCCCATATGTTAGTTCCTTTGAACTTTTAGTTATTACTATAATCATATTTGGTATGATTAAATTCTCATAAATTCCTCATTAAAACTTATTTGTTATGTGAAGCTCTAGTAAATGTGCAAAGTGGTGTAGACTTTAAATTTTTTTAACTGTTTTTTTTTTCGAAACAAAAAATAACAATTAAAAAAGTTGTAAGCTCGGCCGCGCCGAACCATTATTTGTAGAAAATTTTCAATTTTCAAAAAATTAAATCCGTTAAATATTCTGATAAAATTTTAAGAATACGCAATGAACCATTATATAAGTTTCTGTAGGACGACGCGAACCTTCATAGGCAACTTTTGTCTTAAGTCATTACAATATTCAAATACGAAACTTGAAAAAATCGATTAATAATATAGCTAACATCATCAAAATACCAAATATCGGTAGGTACCGTTATATGAGGGCTATACGAAGACGAAGACAATTTTCTTTCATAAACTGTAGTACCCTTTACGAATTCTAGGTACGAAATTTGAAACAACTCCAGTGAATAATGTCCCTAAAATCGCCAAATATCGAATATCGGGATATTTCTCTTCCGGGGAGTAAAATGCTTGGAAAGAACTAGTATGGATATTTAATCAATTCCATTGAAAAATTTTGCTAAAATCATCAAAATACCGAATATCGGCAGGTACCGTTATATTGGGGATATATGATACCGTGGACCTATATAGACAATAATCCTCCACGGGATTAAGAACTCGGAAGGAAATCCTTATGTGGATTTTTAGACAATTCCATTGAAAAATATGACTAAATTTGCTTTTTAATTAATTAAATTTTAGCCTTTCATCTCAATTCGTTCTACAGATAGCGTGCAGGCATACAGACAGACAGACGACTTAGAATTTTACGCCGATCATGAATATGTATACTTTTTTGGGTATTTACTTTGTTGGGTATTTAGTATTTCGAGGAGTTACAAACTGATTGACAATGTTAATATGCCCTCCATAGTATGGTGGAGTGTATAAAAATTAAAGTATTTTTCTACCCGTTGAGGGAAATCTTTTATTTAATGTCGAATTGGGATAAACTTTGAATGAATTTTTGTCAAGCATTGTATTTACTAACAACGTATGAACTCCGTTCGTTGTAATAAAACTCTGCGTATGAGTGATATGAATTTTATGAAATCACACATACGTTTAGGAACTGGTGTACTGAACTATGAACTACACAACACACCTCTACTTTGCAAATAGAAATATAGCCTCAGTATGTTACCATATATTTTTCTATAATCCGCGTGGTAGAGGTACCAGTAGGAGAAAGGCTAAATATTCAATTTTTACACTAAAACTTATTTTGCATTGTGCAAAAGGTGCCCATAAATGGCATCTAAGTATCTTTAAAAATTTTTATGACATGAGAAAGATGAAGCCACTATTGTTCACTTTTGCACCTGCCGGAAACTTAATTCACCGTTTAAAATATACGATGTTCGAAATATATCGGACACTTATTTCTCTCTACAGGGTACAGGAATTTATTAAACACTAGTTGACCCGGTCCGCGTTGCCGGCCCGTACTTTTGGTCTTCAATGCATATTTTTAAAGCATAATAGAACACAGATCTGAATTATGTAAGCGGCACATTTTTTATTATAAGAAAAATAACTCCATAGTAATTTCTAAATAGAAATAAACATTCATGGCAAAAATTATAATGGACTAGCTGGCCCGGTCCGCGTTGCCGGCCCGTAGTTTTTGTCTATTATGCATATTTTCCCAAGCATAATTATTCACAGATATGACTGATATAAGTGTTCACGTACTGGTCGATTAAAAGTGTTTTGAAATACCTGTGCCCATTTTTAAGCCGTGGGCTTTCATATTTAAACCGAGGGCTTCAAATGTGTGGATGTACACATCTATTAAAAAGTATATATTAATCGTATCCCCATGTAAGGGATTAAATTAATTTTTAGTGTGGTAAAAATCGTAGCAAAATTTTCCAGTCAAATGAGCAGTAATTTGGAATTTACTGTATTTTCTACACCTCATAACTGAGGGCCGAACGATTTAAGAATAGCCAAAGTTAATTACTTTTTTAAACCCAGTAACACCTTACATTGTGCATTAGAGTCCTCATAAGTCCCACTAACCATGTCTGTCTGTTTTTCCGCCAAAAGGTGAACTTGAGGGGTACTACTACATGGAGAAAATTCTAAAATTTTGTAGATATCTTGAAATTTTTGTGTAAGATTTTCACCCCGCAAATACACATTTTTAGCCAAATTCTTAGAAATATGGTAAATCAGGAGGTACCTTTATATGGGCACTACTCCGACCTACATTGAAAACTTTCTTCTACCTCTTATAATCCAAGATGACAAATAGAGGCCAAATCAAAACATAGCGGAACAGCATAGCATGTCAAACTGAAAAATTCGAGTGATTTAAATAAGTAAAAATAGTTTTATCCACCTCATAAATGAGGACAGAATGATTTCAGAATAGTCAAATATAATTACTATTTTACACCCATTACCGTAAGATGGGAATTAATTTTATTTGCCATTTAAATTGTAAGTTGGAGACCCCATAAAGACCATATTTTTCATCATAGTATAATTCAGTGACGACTCAACAAATATTTGGTCCCGTGCTACTTTCTTATATTTGTAATTTGTTCATGTTTTCACAAATTATTTCATATAGATCTACATCCCAAATCTACGTTCCCAACCAATATTCTCTTGGGGGTTACAAATTCAATAGAATACAATATTTTCTTTTCTGACCACACATTAGATGTGAAAGTGGACTTGGGGATACTCCAATATGGGGACTTTACTTAAATAAATTCCTATGTGGCACTCTGTATGATGGTTCCCCACCCCAGGGTAACATAAGTACAATTTTTTAGCCAAATCAATTGATGAATGTGGTCAAGACAAATATGGGCCTTATTCTAAAAATTTCAAATTTTATGCGGAGAGGTTCTCTACCCCCTTAGAAACAAAGATGCCAAATGAGGGCCAAACAAAGAAAAAAGTGGCCAAGTCCGCAAAAATATCTTAAATCATACGGAGGTTATATAAATATGGGTTAAATAGGGTTGTACCCTTATCCGAGAATTATGATCGATATCATGACCTGCAAAGCGATTTAAGGTATCTTGAATGTTTGGAAAGGATAGAAATCCTTTTCT